CACATATACTGTAAATATTTTCTCCATGCCTACATTCTTTTTTCTTAGAGTCTTTTGAAGAGCTGAATTTTTTAATTTGATGAAGTCCAATATTTATCATTTTTTTCTTTTGTGGATTGTGTTTAAACTCATAGTTTAACAATTTTGTTCAATCCAATCACAAAGATTTTCTCCAGAGCTTTTCCCTAGAAGTTTTATAGTTCTAGAATTTACATTTAGAGCTATGATATGTTGGAGTTAATTTTCATATGAAGTGAGATAGGGATTGAAGTTACGTTGCGTTTTTCTTTTTCTTTCTTTCTTTTCTTTCTTTCTTTCTTTCTTTCTTTCTTTCTTTCTTTCTTTCTTTCTTTCTTTCTTTCTTTCTTTCTTTTTGCATGTGGATGCCCAAGCATCTCAGCACCATTTGTTGAAATGTTATCCTTTTTCTAATGAATTATTTTTGATCCTTTATAAAAAACCAATCAAATTCATGAGAGTCTATTTTGGATTTTATTATGTTCTATTAATCTATGTGTCTTTTTACCAATACTACCATTTTGATAATTATAGTTTTATATTAAGTCTTGAAATCAGATAGTATGAGTTTTTCAACTTTCTTTTCCAAAATTATTTTGGTTATTTCAGTTTTCCTTTGCTTTTTCATATATAGCTTAGGGGTACTTTGCCTATTTCTATCAAAAATCTCACTGGAATTTTTATTGCAATCTCACTGAAACCCTAAACCAATACAGGGAATATTTTTGAATTTTGGCAGTTTGACTAATATGTTTAGATTTTATTTGTTTCTTTTTAATATTTGTTTTTCCTCTGAGTTTCTTGGATCTGTGTTTGTTGTCCTTCAGTAATTTTGGAAAAGTTATCAGCCACTATATCTTCAAATATTTTTTTTCCAAGTTTTCTCTCTTCCTTTGGGACTCCAATTTGATATTGTCCTACAGATTTTGGGTCTTCTGGATTTTTAATACTTAAGTTTGGAAAATGTCTATTAAGCTGTCTTTAAGTTCAGTGATTCTTTTCTCTTCTGCATTTAGTCTCTGGATAAACCCGCCAAAGGAATGCTTCTCTAGCTCGGATATCACATCCCTCATCTGTAGTGTTTCTATTTGACTTTCCTATAGTTTTAACCTCAGTGCTGAAGTCCCCTTAGCATGTTGTCCACTTCTCCCATTAGATCCTTTAAAATATTAATCACAATTATTTTAATGTCCCTATTTGATCACTTTAATATCTGGGTAATCTCTGGGTCTAGTTCTGTTGACTGCCTTATCTCTTGACAATTTTTTTTATTACTTTTTTGTGTTTCTTATAAACTTTTGTTGAATGTTGTACATGGTGTGTAGAAAAATAGCAGAGACTGAGATAAATAGTACTTTTGCCCAGAAGTGGGCATGATTCTTTTTCTGTGAGACCATTAATCTGTGTAGAGAGGTGTGTGGTCATTGAGTAGCTCAAGTTGATGTTTGAACTGAGTTTGAGTATAGTTTTTGCTATAGTTACTTTATCATGTCTTGCAAATTCCTCTAACAGGGGGCTGATACTATTTGGGCTAGATTTGATCTTCTTTGATCTCATTTTCTACCTGATTGGTAGGCATTTTGTTTTGTTACTATATTTCTCATGTTTTTGTATCATGATTAATCTATGATTATGAAATCAACTGGATATAAAAATATCTTTCTATTCTCTGTAAAAGTTTATGTATTATGGAAATCCTCAATTCCATGAACATTTAAGTGATAAAAACAGTCATTGTACCATATTTTGAGATAGTTCTCTATCAACCTTTTCAATTTGTTCCTTAATTATTGGTCTTTTAAGGCATTATATTTCTTGAATTTCTTATGGCAATTTGTATTTTCCAAGAAAATTATTTATTTTATTGAGTTCTTTTATTGACTGGATTTATGACCCTTGGTGTGGCGTGAGAAAGGAGGCCCTAGGTAGAGTCTCTGGGAGCACCAATATTAAAGAGCAGAGGAGGAAGAAGTATTACAAGAGAGTGTAGGAAGGTGAATCCTGAGAAATGTGGAAAACTAGGAGTCTGTAAGAGTCTGAAACCAAAGGAAGAGAGATTTTTTTCAAGATTGAAAGTAATTAAAGGTGGTTCATATTTCTTTGCCACATTAGGTAACTGAGAAAACTAGAAATTTATCCAGAATTTTGAAGAAAAAAAATGAGATTCATGAATTCTATATAAAAGGTAAGTTGTCATTTGTGTATTAAGACAACAGAAAACATTTTTATTTACATACATATTCAGGAAAAATACCACACAACCATTTTCTATGGGAAAAAAAACTTACTTAAGAATGTAATCCAATTAAGAAATAGATAAAACGAGAAAGTTCACAAATGAGGGAGTCACGTTATAAAAGAAACTGGTGACTATTGAAGCAATATGGACACAGAACTAAATTTAAACTATTGCAATTACTGTTGTGAAGTGGACTACTTTCTTAATTACATTAAAAAATATATAAAAATGGGACACATGGGTGGCTCAGAAGTTGAGTGTCTGCCTTCAGCTCAGGCTCAGGGCGTGATCCTGGAGTTCCGAGATCGAGTCCCACTTCAGGCTCCTGCAGGGCCCTGCTTCTCCCTCTGCCTATGTCTCTGCCTCTCTCTACCTGTGTCTCTCGTGAATAAATAAATAAATAAATAAATAAATAAATAAATAAATAAATCTTTAAATATATATGTATAAATAAATAAATCTTTAAAAAATATATACATATATATATAACTGATAATGATAAAACTAAACTAAAAATGTCAAATTATTTTGGCAAAAGTTGAGAGGAGGAATTTAGAAGTATGATGTAAACATATACCAGTTCTTTATCTTTCATAGGGATATCTTAATAATACTCTTCTTAAAGCTATATTTTCCTGAGGTATAATTTACAATAAAACGCACATGTTTTAAGTGTATGGGCCAATGACTTTTGACAAATGTGTACAACCTCATAACCACCACTACAGTGAAGATGATTGACCTAGAAGTTTCACCTGTGCCCTTACCCAGTTAACCTCTGTCCTTTATCTCTGCCCCTGACCTCAGGAAACTATTAATTTGTTTTCTATTTCTCTAGATAGTATTTCTAGAGTTTAATATAAAGAGAATCATGTAATATGTACTCTTCTGTACCTGGCTTCTTTTCTAGTATAATATAATAAGCCTTGAAATCAAGTATTGTTAAGTCCTTCAATTTTGATCTTCTTTCAAAATCATTTTGGCTATCCTAGTTCCTTTGCTTTTCCATATAAATTTTAGAATTAACTTGTCAATTTCTATTTAAAAGCCTACTGGAATTTTGATTGAGCTTGCAGCTAAATCTATAGATTGATTTGGGCAGACTATACATCTGAATGATCCTGAGTCTTCTGATACATGAATGTGATCTTTCCCTTCATTTACTTAAGTTAAAACTTTTTTCTCAGCAGTGTTTTATATAGTTTAATTTTATCTCTAAATGATCCATATCTTTGATCATATTGTAAGTAGTATTTTTAAAGGTTTAATTGCAAGTTGAGGAAGTTCCCTTCTATTTTAGTTTACTGAGAGCATTTATCATGAATAGGTGTTGGATTTTGTCAAATGCTTTTTCTACATCTAGTGATATGATCATGTGATTTTTCTTTTACATCCTATTGATATGATGAATTATGTCAATTGATTTTTGAATGTTGAACCAGCCTTGCATACTTGGGATAAATTCCACTTGATCATGGTGTATAATTCTTTTTGTACATTATTGTATTCAAGTTGCTGATATTTTTGTTGAATATTTTTGCATCTATGTTCATGATATTTACCTGTAGTTTTCTTTCTTTTAACGTCTTTGTTCAGTTTGGGTATTAGGGAAATGCTAGCCTCAAAAAATTACTTCTGAATTATTTCCCCTGCTTCTATCCTATGTAAGGGATTATAGAGAATGGGTATCTTTAGACGTTTGGTAGAAGTAAACAGTGAACCCATTTGGGCCTGATGCTTTCTGTTTTGGAAGATTATTAAATATCAATTCAATTTCATTAGTAGATATAGGCCTATTCAGATTGTTTATTTCTTCTTGTGTCAATTTTGGCAATTTGTACCTGTCAGGGAATTGGTCCGTTTCATCTAGGTTTCAAATTTGGGGGCATAGAGTCACTTGCACCATGTCTTTATTATCCTTTTAATATCTATGGGATCTATAGTGATATCCTTTCTTTCGTTTATGGTATTAGAAATCTGTGTCCTCTCCTTCTTTATTAGATAGCTTGGAGAGAGGCTTATTAATTTTATTGATCTTTTCAAACAGCTTTTGGTTATCTTGACTTTCTCTATTAATTTCCTGTTTTAAATTTTGTTGACTTCTGCTCCAATTCTTGATATTTCTTTTACTTCTGTTTATTTTTTATTTAATTTGCTTGTCTTTTTTCAGTTTCTTAAAACAGAAACTTAGGTTATTGATTTTAGATCTTTCTTCTTTCCTAATGTATATAAATATCCCTCTAAGCACAGATTCCACCATATTTCACAAATTTTCATAAAAGCTGTATTTTCATCTTCATTTACTTCAAAATATTTTATATTTTACTTGAAACTTCTTCTTTGACTTATGTGTTATTTAGAAGTGTGTTGTTTAATTTCCATGTGCTTTGGTATTTTCCGGTTATCTGTTACCGGTTTCCAGTTAAATTCCATTGTGGTCTGAAAGCAGACACTGTATGATTTAGATTCTTAAATTTGTTGAGGTGTGTTTTATGGCCCAGAATGTGGTCAGTCTTGGGTGGTCAGTCTTTCATGTAAGCCTGAGAAGAATACGTATTCTGTTATTGTTTGATGAAGGAGGGTATAGGTTTTTCTTAGATTTTAAAAAATCTTTGATTTCTGGTTTGTGGAGAACTTTTAGTCACGAATGGGAGTTGCATTATGTCAAGTGTTTTTCCTTATAGATTGAATGTTATTTATTATTTTTTACCTTTACTTTTATTTTCTTTATTTTTTAATAAGGTGGGGGTCCACCATTTCTAAAGGTACTGCAATATCAGGTTGATGCACAGGTTGGACAGAGCAAGCTCCTATTCCATCTCCCTGCTCCAAAAATCTATTTAATATATTGTTCCTGGAAAGATAATATATCAGACATTAAACTGATAAGAACAGATGCTGCACCTGATCTTAGCCAAAGGCTGAGAAATGATCACCTTTATTTTTAATATGATGAAATGTATTGATAGGATTTTTGAATGTTAAACCAACTTTGCATTCCTGGAAAAGGCTTCACTCAGTCATAATTTATGTATGTATTACTAGACTCAATTTGCTAGTATTTTGTTAAGGATATTTTTTTAAGGATTTTTTTTTAATGTTCATGAAGGATATTGGTCTGTTGTTTTTTCATTTTCCAATGTTTTTATATAGTTCAGCATTATGATAATACTGACTTCTTCCCCTATTTTAAGAAAGAGTTTAAGTCAGATAAGTTTATTAATAGAAATAAATATAATTCATAAGTGAAGTCATCTGAGTCTGCAGTTTTATCTGTGGTACTATTTCTAATCACAAATTCAAATTTTGGAATTTTATTTATTGTGTATATAAATTTATTCATTTGCTGCAAATTATAAAATTACTGTCATAAACTAATTCCTAATATTATTTTATTACCTTTTAGTGTATATAGGATCTAAATGAACTCCCTGTTTTTTATTCCTAATATTGGTCATTTGTGTCTTCCTTTATTCTTGATGAATTTGGTTAGAGATTTCTAATTAAACAACATTCTTTTTAAAGAACCAACTTTTGTTTTCATTGATTTTCTTTTGTGTGTTTGTTTCCTATAACGTTTTTTGTTGCTCTTACCTTTATTTTTTTTTCTAATAACTTTAGGCTTTTTTCTCTCTCTCTCTTTTTTTTTTTGGTAATTTCTTAGATGGGCTAATTATGTTATTAATTTGGGGCTTTTCTTTTTTTCTAGCATAAACAGTTAGTGGTATGAATTTGCCTCTAAGTACTGCTGTAATTATATCCCACAACTTCAATAAACCCTTTTTAATGGGTGAATAATATTTCACGACGAGACCTCTAAGTACTGCTGTAATTATATCCCACAACTTCAATAAACCCTTTTTAATGGGTGAATAATATTTCACGACGAGAGATATATACATATATCTACATTGCATAGCATGTTTATACTAGATATGTTATATTAACAATATTATAATTATCCATTCATCCATTAAAGGACTTTTTAGATTGCTTCCATATCTTGGCTATTGTGAATAATGCTGCAATGAACATGGGTGTGCAAATATTCAGATAAATACTGAAAAATTGGATTGCTGGATCATATGGTAGTTATAGTTTTAATTTTTTGAGGAATCATCATACCATTTCCTACAATGGCTATATATATTTATATTCCTACCAATGGTGTATAAGGATTTCCCTTTCTTCACATACTCACTAATATTTGTTATTTATTATTTTTTATAATAACCATGCTGACCTGTATGAAGTAACATCTTATTGTGGTTTTGATTTGTATACCCCTGATGATTAGTGACATTGAGCACCTTTTCACATACCTGTTGGCCATTTGTATGTCCACCATCTTTTTATTTATTTTCTATTTGTCCCAGTTATTCATTTTTTCTCCTTTGAATTTTTTTATTCTATTTTGCCTCCACTATTATTAACTTCTTTGTTTTATTTTTAGAGATTAGAGAGTGCTATCGGTTTTTTTTAAAGATTATTTATTTATTTATTCATGAGAGACACAGAGAGACACACACACAGAGAGTCAGAGACAGGGGCAGAGGGAGAAGCAGGCTCCATGCAGGGATCCCGACGGGGGGACTCGATCCTGGGACCCCAGGACCACACCCTGGGCCCAAGGCAGCGCTAAACCGCTCAGCCACCCGGGCTGCCCTATCATGTTTTTTATATGTCTCTCGGCCTACCTTCAAATGCCATTGTACTGCCTTATGGAATACATTTAAGATATAGGTTTTCTTTAAATTTAAATTATTGAACATATTCATAATAGCTATTAAGAGAGTAAATAGTTAAATATTAAGTAATAATTACTTCACCTATACCATCTGGGTATTTTTCTATTGAATGATATTTCCACCTGATTATTGATGACCCGTTTCTGCTCCTAGTCATCTCGAGAAATTTTAGATTGGAGGTTGGACATTGTAAGTAATACATTCTTAAAACTCAGGATGTTGTTGTCTTTTTAAAAAAGCATTGGCCTTTGTTGTGGTGGGCAGCAAAGTTACCAATGATTTAGTTTGATCCTTTCAAGGCCTTTTTAAAAGCATTTTTCTGGTGGGCTTTTAATTTTTTTAAGGATTTTATTTATTTATTCCTGAGAGACACACAGAGAGAGGCAGAGACATAGGTAGAGGGTTCATAACTTTAACTTTGTAGTGGATGATGAAGCCTTGGTAACTGGATAAATAAATAAAAATGAATAGTATAAATCTTGGAATAGAGTTAATAATGTTATCACTATTTATAAATAATATGGTTACCTATTTAGAAGGCCCAAGAAGATAAACTAAAATGACTGGAAATAGTAGTATTTTTCAAAATGAAAAAATTTAATGCCAATATTAACTACAATTGATTCTTGAAAAACATGACATTTAGGGGCACCAACCCCCATGTAGTAGAAAATCCACATATAACTTTTGACTTTCCCAAAACTTTACTAATAGCCTACTATTGACTGGAAGCCTTAGTGATAACATAATCAGTCAACTAACACATATTCTGTATTTATAGGTATTATATACTGTATTCTTACAATAAAATAAGCTAGAGAAAAGAAAAAGTTATTGAGAAAATCATAAGGAAAAGAAAAATACATTTATAGTACTATATACAAAAAGTCCAGACTAGTGCAGTTCAAACCTGTGTTGTTCAAGGATCAACTGCAATTAGAAAGTATAATGGGAAAAAGATCTTTATTTTAATAACAATGAATATATGCAATGTCACATAAACATGGAATTAGATTTATGGAAATATGTGGGAAAATTTGTATGAAGAAAATTAAAAAGCTCACTTGAATTCTTTAAATCACTAGTAAGAATATTATGTTCTTATTTAGGAATATTAAATACTAAATATTGTCTATTTCCCACATATTTAACTATAAACTATTTGTAATCTTCATCAAAATCCATATAGGATTTTTTAGAACTAGGCAGAATGTTTCTAAAAATCATTGAAAGAATAAAGTTTGATAAGATCCAGGGAATTTTTGAAAAAAAGAGAGTAATGAAATGGGAGTATCCTTACCAGATATTAAAATTTATAATAAAGTTACAATAATCACAATCGTATGGAACTAGTGCAGGAGTAGACAAAACAGTTCAGTGAAACAAAAAGACAAAGCCCAGAACAAGTCCAAAAATATTCAAGAATGTATTGCAAAATAAGAGTGGCATTTTAGGTCAGTGGGGAATGGATGAATTTCTTCAATAAATACATTTGCATTTTCTATCTAATATATTTTGGAGCAGGGGATATATCAGGAGTTAAAACATAATTTGTATCAGAATAAATTGAGGTAGTTCAAAGGCTTAAATGTAAAATATGAAGCTTATTCAAAGGGTGGGAAACAGACACTCATATATTTTTGGTGCACAGTAATTTGCATAACCCTTTGGAGGACAATTTGGCAATATCTTATATCAATATTTTAATAACAAAGAGATGACCATATACTTTGGCCCCACAATTCCTTTTCTATTAATTCATCTGGTATTTTATGTAGATATACTGGCCCATGTGCACAAATAAATATCCTTGGACAAGAATATTAATGGCAGTATTATTTATGATCATGTAACAAAATATTAGAAGAGAACTTTTCTTGGTTCAGGACACCAAAGTGAATGTGCCACAGACCCCTTTCTTTCTGTAGATTGATGAAGGAATTTGGCCAAGAATCTGTTCAATGATTCTTGAACTCCTCAGCCACATCAAGGATGAAAACAAGGTCTGAGACTACAAGACTGGGGCTTGGAGGAGAGGATTCTTTAGAGAGCTGTTGCCTTTCTGGGCCTTCACCTCAACTTTGGGGGACCAGTAGGGAAGATTGCAATGGAGACTAGGAAGGAGAATTTCAAGGAACTTCTTGGGGAGCTTCAAAAGACTTTTCCAGGAGTGGGAGAAAAAGGAGACTGGTGCCTGCCCCAGGTTTGGGGGTGCTAAAATGGCCTGGGGTCAGGGGCTGACTTCTGAGAAACCCAGAAATCAGAGAAGGTCTGTCTTGCAGCTTTAGTCAAAACCCTGCAGTTGCACCTGGGTTGGGATCAGAGAGTGTTAGGACAAGGGATATATGAGTGTTTCTGAAGTCAGATATGTACTGAAGACCAGCATAGGGTGTCCCTGGGCCTGATTCAATAGGGCTGCCCCATAGGCCAAGGAGAACTTGGTAGAACAAAGCTAGTAATGCCAAGAAAGGAGTCTAAAACAACAATTAGTAACAGGTCAGGAGAACTGCAGGGAAGAGCAACTTTCTAGAACACTTCCAACAATCACACATAGCTCCTTAAGAGAAGGAAGCAGCTGAGCCATCAGCTAGGGACAGAGAACTCAGAATCACCCAAACAATGATAACCATCACCTCCTTCCTTTACCTTTACTCACCCTTTCCCCCATCTTGACTCTTGTGGGAAGTGAAATCTCAACTAGCAGGGGAATCATGTAAGGAAGAGAGGCAGACAAAGTTCCCTTTCCTATGGCAATCTTCTTAGCAGTAGCTAATAAGACACTAAGTCAAGTTCAGGGGTTTGATCTGTTACATGGAAATAAAGATTATAATTTCTGAACTGAGGCTGTATTTTTGACTGAAAATGAAAACCCATGAGAACAGCTAGTGTTTTCGAACAAAGGCAAGAGGTGTTATTCTACAGAAATACTTTTGGATTTGGGATTATCAGGGATAATGGGAGAAAAAGTTTTATTTTGAGTATATCATTAGGTATGCTTGTTCAACATACCAATTACAGCAGTAAAATACTGGGAAAGAAAAGACTAGGTAAATACACTGATGTGTTCATATAGTAAAATATTATGCTAGTGCTAAAATAACCAGGAAGATCTTTATGCACAGATAAGGAATGATCTCCAAATAATGTGTTCAGTAGGGATAGAGGTAAGGAATAGCCGAATTTAT